CCCTCAAAAGTGTAGCTGGCTTGATTCAGACATTGAGTCTTGGATAAGCCTACCCTGGGATGTACCAGCACTACCTGGGGAGTACCTCCTTAATGGGAGTAAAACAAAGAGATAACTTTTGAGTTGCCAGGACTTTCATTGGGATAATAGGGACATGCATATGTAGGCTAGACACCTTATTTGGTAGCTGTGTGTATTAAGAGAGAAAAGAAAAAGAAATTAAAAGAAAAAAATTCAGAAGGATGCATTCCCTTAAGTATGCTAGCTTGAAATCTATAAACCAAGTTCCTGATGTTCTGGTCAAAGGCAGGCATTTTCATCAGATCAAGTAACTACTCATGTACCAACAACAGGACACAGTCAATAAGGTCTTTTGCAAAGTAACTGTCCTTCTAAGCCAAAGGAAACAAGGATTGTTGTTGTTTTGTGTGTGTGTGTGTGTGTGTGTGTGTGAGAGAGAGAGAGAGAGAGAGAGAGAGAGAGAGACGGAATTTCACTCTGTCATCCAGACTGGAGTGCAATAGTGCGGTCTCGGCTCACTGCAAACTCCACCTCCCAGGTTCAAGCAATTCTCCTGCCTCAGCCTCCCGAGTAGCTGGGATTACAGGCACCCACCATCACACCCGGCTAATTTTTGTGTTTTTAGTAGAGATGGGGTTTCACCGTGTTGGCCAGGCTGGTCTTGAACTCCTGACCTCAGATGATATGCCTGCCTCAGCCTCCCAAAGTGTTGGGATTACAGGTGTGAGCCACCACGACTGGCCACAAGGATTGTTTTAAAATTTAACCTTAGGGTTCCTGCATACTGAAGTGTACCAAAAGGTGAACTCAAGCTTTGAAGGGATACAATAGGTGTTTTTAGTGAGTTCTGCTGAATAGAGCTGTAAGCATTTCAGGTGTGGAAATGATGGAAGGAATCCGCCTTGGGTTGTGATTATTTGAACAAAGTAAAATCAACAAACAACACTCAGGCTGTAAGTAAGTTTCCCGCTGTGCCAGTTTTGTAATAAAGGTGCTTTTCTTTTCAGCTGAACTTTCCATCGAGACTTAAATCGTTTATTTCTTTGGAGGTAATTTAAGCACACTGCCAATGAAATAGTTTACTGTGTTTATGTTTTTTAAAAAGAAAGAAATTTGATAGCACACTGTTTCATTAATTTGAATATGAATATGCCTAAAAATATTCCTAATATTCTGGAAGATCCCTCTGATTCCTCTGATCAGAAGACCTGAATGGCAGACCTGAATGACCTATAGACTGCTTAGAAAATGAACCAAACAAGGAAAAATCACACAGAGGTAAAAAGGAGTTCTAACTTATTTGGAAACATTTCATTAATCTGCTTATTAGAACTGTAAGCATCAGTTTGTAACTATAACAGAGAAATAGTGGAATGCTAATCTAGGTAACAAATGTCACTTAGAATCAACACTTTTTTTCCCTTCTCGCCATATAATTGTTAAAACAAAGCAAGCCTTCAGAGTAGGTGACCATGTATCACTTACTGAAGGCTAGAAGGGGACTCCTTTTCCAAAGTGGTTCACTCTCTATTTATTATGGGGTCTGAAATTATACCATTGGAGATTTATTTCTTAGACCATGACAGTCTTTTGTTCATTGAAGAAGCATCGACTTTTAAAGTACAAATACCCATGGTATGGGTGGCTCATTAAATATTACACTATATGTATGTATATATATTTTATTTTACTTTTTGAGACCCAGTCTCACTCTGTCACCCAGGCTGGACTGCAGTGGTGGGATCTCAGCTCACTGCAACCTCTGCCTCCCAGGTTCAAGTGATTCTCCTGCCTCAGCCTCTGGAGTAGCTGGGATTACAGGTACCCACCACCATATCCAGCTAATTTTTGTATTTTTAGTAGAGATGGGGTTTCCCCATGTTAGCCAGGCTGGTCTCGAACTCCTGACCTATGGTGATCCATCCACCTTGGCCTCCCAAAGTGCTGGGATTACAAGTGCGAGCCACCATGCCCGGCCTACACCATATTTTAACTTCACCACTAGTTGAAGGTGTATTGGAGATGTTTTTTGTTTGTTTGTTTAAATTTATTTTCATTTTATTTTTTGAGACAGAGTCTTGCTCTTTCACCAAGGCTGAAGTGCAGTGGCAAGATCACAGCTCACTGCAACCTCTGCCTCCCAAGTTCAAGCAAGTCTCATGCCTCAGCCTCCCAAGTAGCTGGGATTACAGGAATGCACCACCACGCCTGGCTAGGAGATATTGATTTTGCCTATCACTCTTTTCCAGTAATGAGATATTCCTTTAAGAAAGTGGATTTCTCTTAATCCAGCTCTGTGCTTTTGGTGGGAGCTGCCAGCTGGAGCATTCTCCTTCCCCATGTTTACTTCCTCTACCCTGCCACCCAGTGGTGGAGACATGACTACGGTTTGTCCAACCTTATTTCCTCAGCCCTGGCCACAAAGATTGGTTCATATCCACAGATGGGTACCCAACTAAGCTAGGATTGATTTCTTTCTTGTACTTTCCAACTGGAGCTAGTGGAAAAATGCTTTCTTTCTTCCCTGGAGATTATATGATAAGGAGGGCAGCCCATAGCTGCTTGTGGCCATATTTCCATTCTCTTCTGACATCTAGCTTGAGAGAATCAAGTCTCAATGCAGAGAGAAGCAGAGGTGAGTGACACAGAAGTTTCCTGATGGTACTTTAGACTGGAATCCATCTGACTCTAAGGCTAGTGCAGTGCTCTCTCGGTTTGTTTACATGCACCAGTAAATCACCCTTTCTCCTTAAGCTGTTATGACTGGAGCTCATTTGCAAACAGAGGTCTGAAAACCCAAAACAAACATTTTACAAGATAATCAGGGCAGTGGTGGTGTTCTAGGTCCAGAAACGTGCGTGTGGGGGGGTGGGTCAGCCCTAATTGTCCTGTGATTAAATAGGGGTCATTGTGTGTTAAAGTTACTGGAGATCTTTTCAGACTTTATTCTGAAGTGAATTCAGAGGCCAAGTTTACCAAGGTTTCTGAGAATGCTGGTTAATATTGTGCTGGGACCACAATGGCCTTGACAATCTCATGGACTATTGAATTTGGGTGAGGCTGCAAGGGACCTGCAGAAGAGCAAGATTGTGCAAATATTTGATTTAGGATCTTGGTGCTACATGTCAGTCAACTGAGTCAGTTTCCCCACCAAATAAGAGAAGCAACATGTAGCTCCAAAAGAGAATCACTGTTTTGATCCATAATGGATCTTACAATGACTGGCTTTATTTAAATCTTAAATTTACATCTGTTCATGAGTAGCCATGTTTTTCTCTACAGGTAGTTAAAAAAACCACACACACAAACAGAATAATGGGCAAAAAAAAAAAGGGTAGGATTTAATGTTTTCTTCCCTCTCCCAAGCCATTACAGTCCTAGTCCCTCAGTATTATTTAAATTTTGCCCTCTCAAAATATCCGAGAGACAAAATTGTCATTAGACAGTAAGTAATATTGAAAAAATGAAACTAAGAAGAATTAGAGACCTTGCGATTATTTTTCTTTGCACGGGGTTTAAAATGCAATTGGAAAGTTGAAAACTTCTCTTAAGCGAGCTGGGGAACCTTCTCCAATGTGCTCTACAATCATTGTCAGTTTCTTCTAATGAAACCAATGAAAAATCTGGCTAATGCCTCAGAATAAGGACTTTTAAATGGATAATATTCTCTAACGGATTTTATTCTTTTAGGCTTCATGGTGGTAAAAGCAAATTTACAAACTGCCTTTATGTTGTTTTATTGAAAGAAAAAACTATGTTTCAAGTTCACAGTGTTATGTGCATTTGAATCCTGGGAAAGCACTATTCAAAATTGAAAATGAAAATCAAATTCATATGAAAAGCTTTACCATGTAGTCAGGGTGCTGGGAGTGTCTCCCTTTCTGAAACTACACTTCACCTGCTTCCTCCTCCTCCATTTGGTTGTGCATTACTCCTCTTTTTCCACAATTGCTTATGAGTAATAAAGGAAGCCAGAGTAAGAACGATGACATGTTCTTGGCTTTGCAAGAGTGGCACACATCAAAGGAAGACATTTTTCCCAGGGAACCACAGCTTTGCAAGAGATTCACCAGGCAGGAATGAAGTTTGATATTACTGTGACATAACAGAGGGAATACCCTGAGTCTCCCAAAGATGGGAAAGGCACACTAGGGTACAGTCAGCTGCTGCTCTAGAGGCTAACTCTCCAAGTGTTGCTTGTGCAGTGGCAGGGTAATGAACATCTCTAAGCCTCTGCTTATTCTTAGGGAATTCGTAAATGTACTTACCTTAGAGGTTATTCTTAGAATTAAATAGACATGGAATGCTTAGCAAAATACCTGGCCCATGGTACTATATTAAATGTTAACTAGTGTTCTCACTAAAATAACAGTCTGAGATTTGGGGTTTTCTTGTTTGTTGTTTGCTTGTTTGTTGCCTAACGGTGTGTTTATAGTTTGTTAGCTGGAGAAGTCTTTTATTAAAAAATCAGAACCAATGTGGCTATTAACAATTTTCTAAACTACCCAGATTTCATCTCCAGCCAGCCTTCGCTGCTTGTTTCTGGTTCATTTGCCTATTGGAAAAAAAAAAAAGATTATCTTCTCTTCCCCGTGCCCTAGTCTGTCAGCCTGTGTTTTCAGACAGCTCTGTCTCACTCCAGAGCCCAGTCCCTGCAGGCGCCTGTTTTCCTTCTTATGCCCTGCCCTCCCCCTACTACCACCCAGCTTGTCCAGCAACACTTCTCAGATCTATTTCAGCCTAGCTCTTCAGCCTCAAAGACTTTCCCTTAACGAGCAAACCGCTTATTCATTCTCTGCCCCTCTCAAGGTGAAAGTGAATCCAGCCTGGAGTTAGTAGTTCATGTGCTGTATCTATTGGTGCCACACAGAGGTCAGGCCAGGCCTGTGGCCTCGTTTTTTTTTGCTTTGTTGCCAATACAACTACATACATCACCCAGCTGATGGGCCAGTGTGGATCTGTCACGTGGTAATACTGACCTCTAGGGGCTGGCTTTCCTTCACATAGAGTCTTTATCTTCTCATTGAGTTCCAGAACTGTGATGGCAGCCTCTTGCTTAGCTGTTGCCAAATCAGTCTGTAGCTTTTTCACTTTCTTTTCATGCTTTAGTTTCTTAAACAAATAAAAAATAAAAAAATAAGAGTTTCCATCCCTGGGGACAGATGCATCAAAGAAATAAAAGGAATGATGTCTGAACAAACACTGCCTTTGAAGCCTGCTTAGATGAAACACTCCCTGTTTATCTAGATTGAGTCCTGTTCGAGGTTTGTGAAACAGTGTATGTGCTCCTGTCAGAGCGTTTGAACCCTCAACAAAAAAAGCCCACTCTCTACCTCATAGTATCTTTTACACTTTTGAAGAGTTTTTATCTGGGTCAGAACCCTGTTGCTTATAATAGAGGCAATTAGAAGAACTCTAGTTGCCAGTTGGCATTTGCCACCGAGGTACTAATGCCTACTAGTATCAGATTTTTTTCCCCCATCTGTAAGTAGACTCATGTGAAATAGAGCCTTGATTCTAAGCCATTTCCCCTTCAACACTATAATGGTTTGCTTTCAGATACACTCTAAAATGTGTGATGTGACCACCAAATGCTGGTGTTTTCTGATATTTAGTATGGGATCCATATGGGGAAGGTGTCAAGGGTAAGAAAGGGTCAAGCATAAGAATGGTTTTTAAGCAGTAGTGAACAGGAATGCCTTGCTGTAAAATAATTTGATTTATGAGACCTAAATCTTTGGGAGAGCTGCATCAGGAACTTGTTACATAACTGAAGGATTCACCTTGAGACTTCATGACTCAAAAGTTCCTTTTAGGGTTTCAAAGTAGATTTGATTCTTTAAAATTGGATTTATCTGCTACTTTGGAGAAGCTGTCTGTTGTGAAAGGTGTTGCATTTGTACTTTCGTGTTGCTTTTGTATAGCTACCTTTCCATTGAAGAGCTCACCTTGCCAAGTCTTTGTGTGCTGGTAATTAGGAAGCTCAGAAAACGATCTACTAACATTTCTTATCAGACATAAATCTTGAGATAGGGAAGGGATGGTTTTTGCTCACTAGGGAAGATCATGTTCTTCCCTGGCCTCTGAAGGCAGTATACTCAGGCAGCAGCGAATTACTCTACTCTTTGAGAGTAACACCAGTAAAATCAATTTATCAAAAACGGTCTTAAATAGAAACGGACTTTTCATTTCAAAGACCCCTCATTTCACTTTTTGCTTTGTTGCCAGTACGACTACATACATCATCTGGATGATTTATGAGATCTAAACCTTTGGGAGGTCACTCAGATCAGGTTATCTTCTAGACCCCAAACAGGAAGATCAGGACTTCACTAAAGCTTAGTTAATGGCATAAACAGGGCTAAAGGAAATGTGTTACTCGAAGGAGAATGGTAGGCGTGGAACTTCTTTAAGGGGAGTTAGAGGGTAGAATTAGGCAAGGTTCAGCCAGCACAATCCATGTGAGAGGTACCCTGAGCCACAACGCAAAGGCCTGGTTTTCATGGCAGTACTTGTAAAGAGGTAGTACTAATTATTAGGATGCATCCTCTGGGTGTCAGGCACGATGCTGGCCAGATGTTGAAACACGAAGACTGATGAAGTCTCTGCCTCCAAGTCATGAAGACCTTCTAATGAATTCCCTTCTTCTGAGCCTCTATTCACTAAAAGGCTTCATAATTTGGCCTGTCATGTACATTAGTTCAGGAGAGACCGAGCTGACCAAGAAATATGTCTGGGTATTTGGCAGCTGGACAGCTGTGTTTTTCAATTATTAAGTTGGCATTTTAATATATACCTCTGTCTCTTGTGAGCTGGTTTGGGTCAGCTTGTTCATGAGGATCTCATCTATCCCAGGCCTGTAGTGATAGCACCTTGTGAGGTCCTGGATAGTCACCATTGACATTTTCCTCTTCAATACTCTTCCACGCTCAAATTTCTACACTTTCTTTTTACAATTTAGAACTTTGGAGACATAGAGTAGGAGGAAGGGTACAGAAATGAAAATTGAGAAAGTGGAGAGAATGAGGGAAAATAAGGCAAGAGAGGTTGTGAAGGGAGTGCTAGAAAGTGTCCAAAAAGAACTGACAATGGTATGTGTGCTGAAATGTTAAGGACTAGGTGTGCTAATGAAAGCAAGTTGCACTGAAATGCATAAATAAGACAGTTGGATATAGAAACAATAGATACCTGATAAGATGAAGAAGATAGTAAAATATTCAATGTAGAGTCTAGTTTTTGACTTATATGGGTGTTTACTATATAATTATTTCAACTTTTTTGTATGTTTGCAATTTTTCATTATAGGATATTGGGGGAGAAAGAACTAAGATTTATCTTCCTTACATTGCCTCTCCCTTAATTCTTAATAAATGGTATTCAAATTCTCAAATCATGTCACGACTCTTCACATGCAGATATGTATTTTTCCAGAAACTTTTCTCAAAGTATGCATTGACAGTAAATAAACACAAGAAAAAATAAATGCAGTGAGGTGAGAATTAATGAATAGTCACTAGGAGCTGCCATGGTGTCTGTCACTAAGAAAAAGGCTTACCAAGCTACATTTTCATTTTGATGGAATAATTTGATGAATAGAATTCAGGAACTCAGTGAACAGAGACAGGGTTTCTCAATATCAGTTAAGAATTTCACCTTTCTAGGTACACATTTTAACTCTTTTTAAAAAAATATTCAATTACCAGAAAACACGTTCCTGTCTGTCTTTTACAGTGATTGCATTGTTCTGTCTCTTCTATTATAATATTTGTATATTTACCTTATAATCTGAGAAGGAAATTGAGACTATTTAGTTTGGAGAAGACATTACAGTATACAGGGCAGTCATGGCAGTTGACTTTAGTTACCTAAGGGACCATTCAAGAGGAGAGGAAGCTGAGTCAAACAATGTTGTTTTCAAGATAACACGAAGAACAATGGGTAGAAACCATGAGGAGGCAGACGTTGGCACAACATGAGAAAGAACCCTCCGACAATCAGAGCATCCAGAACAGGATAGGATGCATCCTGGCAAAGACCTCCTGCTCTGGGAAAGATCAAGCAGGGACTGGATGGACATCTTCAGACAGGCCCTTGGTGACCTGTGGGACCTGGGTTGAGAGGTCACTGGAAGTTGTGCTTCCCTCAACTCTTTCCACTACTGGCTTTCTCCAGCTCCCTGAGGGGCACAGCACATGAGTAAATGAACATCTCAGCCCTCAAAGCCTTCAGGGTTGGTGTAGTTGGTACACTTTAAAGATAATTCTGGTATTTGTGAGAAGTTGGATAAGAAGGCCAAGAAAGCCTGTGGGTCCCTTAGAATTCAAGGATGATGTGAATCAAAATGTCACTTTAATATTTAGCTATAAGGGAGGGGAAAATTAAATTTAAATTAAAAATTGGATAAAAGACTTAGATTGGCTGTCTAACATTTCTGTTGAGACTTTTTGATTACTCAGATACACTTAAAAATAGTTCAACATCTTCATCTTTTTTTTTTTTTTTCTTTTCTTCAGAAAGAATTGCTCTCTGCTATTAATTCATAGCTTTAACCAAGCCCTTTGGGCATTTCAAACAATTCAATTTGCCAACATGTTTTTTATTAGTCATAGACATCAAATGATTTCAGCAACAATAATATTTTCCTTGCTGTTTGGCGTTCACTAGCCAGGCAACCCAAATGTCATACTTGAATCTAATGCAGTCTGTTATGGTCTCCTTAGTAACTAGGAACTCTCTTTGGTGATTACTGAAAGGATAGGAAGGCTTTATAGCTTGGAGGTAAATTCCTATTACTGTGCTCTTTTCCTACTTCTCCTACTGGGTGGAAAGAGGGAGGAAATCATGTATTTGTGCAATGTTTTGAAAAGGAAATATCTATTCGTATCGTATTGCTGAATGGCTTGCATTATTCCAAGTTAATGAGAATTAGAAATAACCAGGGAACTATTCATAGAAGACGGTCAACACAAAGTTGCCAGCACTGTTTAAAATTTCTGGGTATTTCCACATACTTTAAACTGTGGCAGTTACCCAATCGTCTGGCCCATGACATTTCTAAGCCTTAGATTCATGTCATAGGACTACTGTGGGGATCCAAGGACATAACATAGAAATGACAGCACCCGGCTCTATGCCATGTAGTAGTTATGTCTTTCTGGTTTTGTCATTACTCTTAAAACACATAAGAGAAAGTTTGAACTCTTCATAAAACACTAAGCACCTTCTCTAAGGATACTTTAGAAGATACTAAGGATAGAGAAGGTATCTTTTCTAAGCACCTTCTCTAAGAATACTTTAGTGTTTTAGTGAATAATTGAAATGTTACAGAAAATAAAATGGAAGTTGTCATACTTTACAGAAAATAAAATTTGTACTTAATTGAAAGCAAGACATTTCATTTCTTCTTCTTTTTTTAGAAATTAAGTTTTCCGCATGATTGCATTGATCTCCTCCTCACTTTGGATGGGTAGACAAAACTTAATGTCCTGAAAACAGACATGCAAATAGCCTTGATTCAATCTCCTGCCAGAGCTGGCCCGGTGCCTAGGCAAAGTCGGTGACTGCCTGCGTGTAATGATGTGAGGAGCACTCCAAGGCACTGCCTCTTGCTCCTCACAGCAGCTCTCTCTTGGGCCTGCCAGGGCAGAGCTTCCTCCCACTTTATCTGAAGTTTACTCTGTCCATCCCAGCCTCCTTCACTTAAGAGCCTGTATAACAAAGGGATTTTGTCTTCAGTGGCCCACTAAGAAAATGCTCACTACTGAAGATGTAAAAGAGAATTTGGTTTGAATACAGAAGGTATACAAGGGTCCTTCCTTGCATTTCTCTTCTAATAGCCAATCAATAATAGTAATGAAAGTTATAAATAGTGATAGAATTTGGATACAACTTGTCTTTGAAAGTCAATTTTACATGTTTTGTATTTTTAATACCCTCAGGAGAATATTTTAAAGTCTAGGGATGTCAAATGTGTGTCATGTATGTTCTTTTTCAGTTCATGGCAGGCCTTTGATTTGGGGATTCTTTAACCCTGTGTTGCACCCCTGGATTCACAATCATTTAGTCACACTTACAGCAGCCACTGCCCATTGATGAAACCTGTCATCTGTGTT